AGGTACCTTTATTTCAAATTCTCCACTTTTCATTTTGTATGTAGTGTACACATGGAAATTTACCGCCATAAGATGTGGTTGTGTATGCTCACTTTCCCATCAATGCTTCAATCACTAATGGAAACAAGTGTATTGAGATCCGTAACTTTCCGAGCGGAAGAAGGTCTGAATTCTTTAATCATTTTTACATATCCTTGAAGGCTTTGGATTGTATATGTAATTTATGTTTATGATTTATTTGTTTCATTTCTTATGGCCTTTTCATTTGTGAATGGTTAATTTAAACTGGCCCTTTTTCCTTAATTGGATCCAACGTGGATATTTTTATTTGTCATATTATGAAACTTTTTTGGGTTCTTTGCTTTAGTTTTATAAGAGAGGCCATTTTTGAGTCTGAGTTGTTATTTGGAAGAGTAAATGATTATTTCTCTGAAGAAACAACCTTGTTATGCTGTTGATTTTAAAATCTTTGTTATATTTGCTTTGATAATTATTGATTTTTTCAAAGATGATATTAGTTATTTATTTAATTGTCTGTACTGTGGAAATCATACGAGGCTCAAAGTGAAAAACTGTTTGTGAGTTACTTTGCACCATTTTTTATCCGTGGTGCTTAAAAGCTTCTTCTTGAGTATGTATTAATGTTGATTTCAATCATTTATAAAAAAATTGCAAATGCATTTATGTTTTTATCATTGTATTAGGGAAAATTTAGGGGGTTTGGGTTGTAGTGGGAATTACTTGTCTTGACAGACTTGTATTGCATTTTCATTCTAAATTCTATATTGAATGCTGTCTCAATTTGTTCACTTGCTCTTATGTTCATGGAAATGTTGGGATTGAATCAGAGTTTAGGTTTATATTAACTTGTAGGCTATATCAGGTTAGGAAGGTGGATTTGCTTGATGGTGTCGCAATTCTTAGATCTGGGAAGCTTAAAGGATAAACGGGTTTTGGATGGAAATGACATTGAGCATAATACACCATTGAGTTTTGTTTTTACGTTGATTTCGAGGGCCTAATTTATGATCTTTGCCTCGGGCCCCGACAATCACAGAACCGGCCCTGTTTATAATCAGGTATTTAATAGCATCATGAAATATATTAATATATTAAATCTTAATATTCTTCATAATCTCACCACAACCAAGATATACATTCATAAACAAAACAATGTAAAACAATGGACCAAAAATTTACAACCATTATTTTATGTCAGAAAAAATCTCGATATCTTCCGGTCAATATCCTATTGTTCTTATTTTTCAGCACACAATTCTCCAGCGCACTAGTTCTGCAATGTTATGCTTCACAATCCTATCGCAGATCTGATTACCTTGATTCTGATTACCTTGATGCGGTGACAAATGCATACGGTCTGATCGTGGGGTTAAGTGACCCTACAAGATCCCCTTAAATTTAGTTTTAAATATACAATTCTACTTTATCTTCAAAAGATTGGGGATAAACTAAAGGGATGCAATCCCATGAAAATTGCACCAAGTGGATCTCAAATCAAGAGATTGACCTTGATTGTATGATCTGTAGATTGACAAAGCATCAAGGAAATGCCTGTGTAGCAAGTGTTTTGTTTATGAAGTTTTGGAAAATTGTCTATAAAATGGGAGCTACAGAGGGCTATATCTCCATCCGTTATCCTACAATGTACTGACTACCCAAGTTTAAAACATTTGTACCCCTTTGACCCTTCCTTCAATGAATATATGGGTAGACTATGCCAACAAGTTAAGAAGTCTTCATCGACCAATTTTTTCAAATATTTCATGTTGTGCTGATTTTCTCTCTCCCAAAAGGTAAATTTTTGAGCTATTTCAAATGACAATCTAATCTTAGAATGCGCCTTTGGAGAAATCACTAGTTATTACACTACGAGAAGAAACTCAGGATTTGTTTTGTAATTCAATAATAACTTTATATTAATAAATATATGATATTTATGATTTTAAAAAAATGAACTTGGTAGAGGGTTTGATGAGTATTAGTATTCAACGTGTCTGACATGTATAAGATATGAACACATCACCCTCGTTGAAATGTCCGTACAACTAAGGATATTTGCCCCCTTTGGCCCTACTTTTGAAATCATTTTTCTTCAAACTCATTTTCAACTACATTTCATGAGACTTACGACTTGGCTTATGACTTTTAAACTCACTATCATGTATTCGAATAACATCTGAAAAACTGGACCAACTGTTAGTCCCTGAAATGGTATAGGATTTATGGAATTAACCTCGAATTATTGCTGACTTTGACGATTACCCACACCACAGAAAGTGAAGCTTCAAATCCTCAAGCCTATATTCCATGCTTTTACAACCATTTTTTCTGGAAAACCATCAGAGAGGGTCAACGTGACATTGTCAGGGCTCATCCAAATCTTCAATTTGTGGATAGGAAATGCTAAACTATCAACCCAGTAAGTTTTTATAGTATTGCCTGAGGTTAATTATATGTTATAAATTTTTCCTTTCCCAAACTTTTCTCTAGAAAGTTTTAGAACCGCAAGTCTGGAACTGATTTGCTATTGAAATGGATTGGAAGATCTCAACGACAACAAACAGAAATGTAAAATCTAGGATTGGAGCAAATTGAATTCTGAACACAGTATGGAACAATTCATCAATGTTTTTGTGTATTTTTCCTGTACTGAATTTGAACAAACAAATACAACGGAAATGAAAAAAAATTAACTTTCGATAGGCTGGAACTCTCCAATCCAGAATGAAAAATAACAGAGCGCATACATCCTCACAATTATTGAAGCCTACTTGTATTATTACATAAATTTCTCAAACAACCCCTCCCCCTACATTAAATTATTGAATGGAAATATTTACATGTTTTTGAGTCCTATCAAGTTATTTGGAATCAAGCTTAGATAATCCAAGTAATTTGGATTGCGGGACAAAATATTCTGAACTAAATACATTGTGTATTCATCTGGGGAGATATTTCTCTCTCTCATTTTCACAAGTAGTTCAACCACTTTTGATGCCTCGTTAAGATTGCAAAATCCTTGCATGAGCGTGTTAAAATTGACCACAGAGGGTGCACAACCTTCCTTTTCCATCTTCATAAACCAATAATTTGCCATTTCCATATTTCCGTACTTAGAAAAGCCATCAATCATGATGTTATATGTAAAAACTGTTGGTTCCAAACCCTTATGAGACAACTTTCCAAATAGCTCACTAGCTAAATCAAGCTTTTGTGCTTTACACAATCCATCAAGGATACAATTATAGGTGTTAATGCGACAATTAAGGCCAGATCTTTCCAGAGTATGAAACAGCTCCATTGCCTCTGCGAGGCAATTATTTTTGAAAAAACCATCCAATAATATATCATAAGTAGCAGAATCCGGAGTGACTTCATGGACTTTCATCTTTGCAAAAAGTTCCTGTGCATCCTCAACTTTACCTGCTTGAAATAGACCGGTCAACAAAGTGTTGAATGTAACAACATTTGGCTTGTATTCTTTGCGTACCATTTCTTCGAAAAGCCTCGTGGCCTCTTCCAATTTCTGACACTTGCAATACCCATTAATTAACACGGTGTAGCTTACAACATCTCGCTTATAGCCTTTAACCCCCATTGAAACAAACAACTCCCTTGCATCATCAATCCTACTCTCTAAGCAAAACCCATTCATCAAAATATTAAATGTAACACAACTTGGCTCTTCACCCCTTTGAATCATCAAGTTTAACAACTCACTAGCTTCATTAGTCTTCCCCTCCTTACAAAGCGCATCTATCAAGATATTAAACAATATTACGTCAGGAAGAATGTCTTGATCCACCATTTCAATGAAGAACAGCTTTGCGTCCTCCCACTCATTGGCCTTGCAAAAACCACTAATTAAACCACTATATGTAACCAAGTCTGGCATAATTCCCCTATCCTTCATCTGCAAAAACAATTGTTTACCCTTGTCCAACAGCCCCTCTTTACAGAGGCCGTCAATGAGCGTGTTATAACAAATCAAATTAGGCCTAAAATCTGACCTTCCCTTCCTGTTCTCCACTTCCTCAAGCATCCGTAGCGCCACTACAGAATTTCCACTCCGACATAACCCCTTAAACAATGAATTGAAAGTAACAATAGTTGGATTATACCCCCTCTTAAAAACCCCACTTATAACAGCAAGACCAAGATCAACCCTATTCAAGCAACAGTAACAATTGAGCAAAACATTAAGTGTACTAATATCCGGCAATACATCAAGTTCAACCATCCTCTGGTACATAAAAATGACATCTTGATAATTCTTGGTTTTGGCAACAGAGCCTAGCAATTTGTTAAATGACAAGATGGGTGGCGAGGGTTTCATTTTGAGCATATTATAAAAGGATGTTAATGCATCATTGGTGTCGATTTGTGAGGATAGTTTACCGTCTGTTTTGAATTTTTGGTAAGGGGTTGGGGTTTCAAATTGAGTTGGGGATCTCGATTTTAGTGGGTGTATAAATATTGGTGAAAGCTTACCTCTTTGAGCAGTTGTGGAAGCCATTTCTGCAGCGTCGTGAAGCACGCAAACACAGATGCACGCACAAATCCGGAAGACGCTAATGGATCTCTGATCGTGAGAAGAATTGAGAAAGGAATCATGAAAATTCCAATTCCAATTGATACGTGCTGTGCGATATCTCTTCAAAGGTTAAAACACCAAATTTATAGTCTTTGGGAGTCATTTTTGAGTTAATTGTTTCAATACCCACCGAACTTTAGGTAGTGTCACGTTTTACTCACTATACTTTAAATTGCACTCTATTACTCACCGAACTTTACACCGTTGCACTCCATCACTCACCAGCTTCATCCCGTTAATAAACACTGCTTACGTGGAGGACGGATTTTTACATGTGGAAGTTAAATGTCATGTCATTATCCCAACCCAACTCCCAAACACGCCTCACCCAAAAATTAGATTGAAGTCGTGTAAACATAAACAAAAACCCAGACATGATTTCTCCTCTCTCCCAGCCATGAACCCTATCCCCAAATCTGCAAAACCAAGACCTGATTTCATCTCGCAAATCTCGAATCGTCTCTCCCAAATTAGTTGACAGTGTAATGACTTCAAGCTCCCGAACCCGAAATAGAGCCTTGAACACCTTTGAAGTCCCCCACTCCAACCACGAATCTTGTGGTTTCGAAGATTCGCACATGGTGGGACCACATCAAGGTAATTCCAGATTTTTGTTTTTGCTCATTCTCTTCTTTTCTACTAGTTAGCTTATCTTTCATCAAGGCACTTGCTAAGGCTGCTGTAGGTTCTATCTGCTTGTGTACACTGGTGTTGAATGCCATCAGGTTCACCATTTGTTATGCAGGTCACCATCACATCTAAGTTGATGTGGTAGTCGAAGGCCCCCAGAGCACATCTCCAAGTGGTAAAAGGAGAGGGTGGAAATATCCAACTTTGCTTGAAGCTGCTGCGTCAAGGGTTCGAATCCTGAAATATGGATTTGACTGTTGGGTAAGTGCAAGTGTACAAGCAGCCTTTCACCCTGTACCTTTGGAGGCATAACCTGTGATTTACCTCCCTCACGATGCTCCAGGGAAGGAGTGGTGGGGAACCCTTAAGGTTAGAGTTTAACCTTTGATGTGGCAGTCGAAGACTTTGGACAGATTAATTGTGGACAGATTAGTGTTGAATGTGTAAATGTGTATTAATTTCCTATGCTGGACAGATTTGAACCATTATGTAAATTCAGTACCATATAATGCAGTCTTCCAGATTAAGTGCTAGACAGATTAATATTGTGCAAGATTCTTGATTTATGTAACTTTGTCGTTGTCAAAAATTGTTTTCGTGGTTATTAACCGAGCCATCGAGATAAATCCAACTACTTTTCATAAATTTTTTTATTTCAATTTGATGATCGAGCCTATAAAAAATAATTTGTTTTCGTGCTTATTAATTGAGCCGAACTGAATCAACGTACGTGGTTATGGACATGAAATAAAAAACTAATTCTCACCAAGTACATAGACAGACTACATTAAAAAATCCCTTCAATTTTTTTCCCGTTCTCTTCCATAGCTCCCTTTCCCTTGCATATGGATTTCAGCAAAATGTTTGAACACAGTCGACAGATCGGCAATTAGAGGTGTAGGATTGTATTTCCCCCAACATTTACATATTGACCCAAATGAATAACAGACCTATGTTTTCGGTCTTCTTTTCTACTTCCATCCATTTCAGAAAGCTTGAAGCACAATTTCGACATCACTACTTTTTTTGGCAGTCCCACAGTTGGTGTCCCGACTATCTATAACAGTGAGAAATTCCCTTTTTCTTTCCTACACAACAAAAAGATACAGAAGAATGTCAACATTCGTGTTATGTAGAAAATAATTCACCGAAGAGTTAAAATGTGGACAATTTTGATAAATACAGTTACTAATTCAAAGAGGTATTTCTACAAAGCTAGATGTCCAAGATACT